GCGAAAGGTATTGTCGTTCAAAGGTTTTAGGAAAATACATGTTGTGATGATGTGGCAGCATCAGAGTGCGCCACGTGGTTGAGTGTGAGTCGGAGTCTTCCACCGTGTAGGGGTTGAAACATTTCTATTGAGGAGTCGAAATTGTGTGAGTCTGTAAGGAGTTGAAATCCTAATGATTTCAACTCTATGTATTTGCAAGGCACTGTTTGTCTTTGAAGCTAGAATGTTTAGTCTTTGTATTTTTTTGTTGAGTCTGATGTACCCTATAAATAGGGTAAGTACTAGATTAAATGGTAACTTTCAAGCACTTCCCATTGTAAAAAAACTCTCAATACTTTGTAATATCTTCAGACATAATACGAGCCAACTAGATTATATTTACATCTTGTGTTCTTAACTATTATTCTTGAATCGATTGTGTTCATAATCAAATCTAGCATACATCAGTTGGTATCAGAAAGAGATTCATCCAACCTATTTCAATTTTCTTGTTTTTTTCATTTTTTTTGAATCGCTATTTTCAATTCAAAAACTTCTACATTTGAATCGGGAACATTGATTTGATTGCTTATTGTAAATAGATTATGCACTCTGCATGTTAGATCGATCGATATCTAATCAATCTCTGTTTGATTACCTTCCTATTTTAAATCCGAAAATCCTATTTCTTCAAAAATTCCATACAAAAATGGTGAACCTCAATTTGAACATAATGACAAACTGCTCTCACCTGCTTGAATCATTAACTAAGATTATGATGTTGATATCAGAGTACTATGATAGGATGGAAGATTATCCTAATGGAATCAATGGAGATCTATTGTGATGTATCAATAGAGGTGGATTGAGTCCAACGATGTTAGTCAACATTGGTACTGCAGCTACATGTGAATATATGATCACTCTAGGAAATAAACTGAAGGCGAATGATAATAAATGTCTTCGTGAACTACGTGGTGCTCTTCCACCAATAGTTTACAATTACATCTGAAATTGTAAAACTGCAAAGGAGATATGGGATACATTGAAGGAAAAGTATCAGGGCAATGATAAGATGAAGAAAAGTTCTGTGAAGCGGTGTTTGTTGAAATTGGGTGAGTTCAAGAAAAAGGACAACAAATTGATCGAGTCATACTATAATCGATTGAATGAACTGATATTCAAATGTTCTCGATACGGAGTGACTTGTTCTTCCCTGGATTTCAATCTCACATTTCTCATGGGATCGAGAAAGTAGTGGAGAAACATAAGCTTGATGATCAAAACTCAAGAAAGTTTTGATGGTTATTCATTAGCAAATTTATATAATGTTCTGAAAGCTCATGAAAGTGAGATAAATGAAATTGCTTAAGAAGGAAAATTAAGTTTGGGTGGAACATTAGCACCAATGTTGAAAGTGATTGCCAAGGAATCTAAATTCGAATCTGCTGAAGAAGATAAACTTGAGGAAGAAGGTTTTCTATTTAACTCTAATGATGAAGCGATTGCTTAGTACTCAAATAACAAAGTGAAGAAATTCTACAAGAAGCCGTTCAATCCGAAGTTCAAAAACGAAAATGAGTTTAAGGGAAAAAGTTTGACTGGAAATAATGGATCAAACCATATAGCGAAGGACTGCACGCACAGAAAGAAGGAAGAAAAAAAAGGAGAAAGTCAAGGATGAAGCATACTATGCTGAAAAGATAGAACAAATTTGTGCTCGAGCAAAGGGAATTTCTTTCGTGGCTAGGGGAGAATATGTGGAAGAGGGCACTTATCATACTTTGTCGTCTGGTGTTGATGACGATTAGATGTGAAATCCGACTCACAGAGCCATGTACGTGAAGTTGGAGGAAGATGATGAGGAGAAAGTGAATGTGGAAAAGATGAGTGAAGAAGAAATAATTGGACGGGGTTTCGTTTCCACTAAATCAACGAAATCACCAATGATTGCCAAGGTACGTGATCTGCTTAACGCATTTAAAATTTCTTCATCCTCTTAAAATGATTTTTTACCTGAATTTTATAATACTTGTGCTTATCTTAATGACATGTTAATCTCCACGAGTAGTGGTACAAAACTGTCGAAGTCCCTTAACTATGATGGTAAAAACAAATTAGAGAAAAATAAGGGTGTGATAGAAGCTTTAGATTTAAGAATTACTAATTTGCTAATTGATAAGGATTCGATTCGAATGGACAGCATCATGCATGTTAAACAGCGTAATATTTATTGTAATTCTGCGAAGAGGTTGTATGCTAAAATTACTAAATTGCATCATTCAACTTAAATTTGTAGTGAACAAAATCGTAAACTTCTTCCTTTCCTTGCTTTCAAAAAAGAACAAATAAATGAAACTACTTATGATTGTGAAAGTAAGATAGCTGACTTTAACAAGGTTTTGAATGATTCGTATGCATATGGAATTGTAAATAAAAATGAACAATTGACTGTTGATGACCTTGTTTATATTGTGAATGAAACTTTAACTTAAAATGAACAAGTCAAGATTTTCAACATGACTGAGAAGTCGACAGTTGATTCTCAACAAACTATTGTTGATATTGAAGACGATTATGATAATATTAGTGAAATTGAGACTGAGGAGAGTGTCGATTGTTGACGATTATATGTTATTAATGTCAATTTGATGGCTAAAGGCAAAGAAAAATATCATGATTCAATGTTGAAAGTAAACAGTGATCGACCTTCTACATCCAAAGTATGTGATCCTTTTGATCATATTGTGGTTGAAGACTATGTGAGTGATGAGGATGATGTTTTGAATGAAAAACCTAATCCTAGAGTTATAGTTGAACAAGTCTTCGAAGAATCAAAGGAGTACACAAAGATGTTGAAAGATTAAGGAAAACATTATCCGGAATCCAGTTCAGTGGTCTATCCAAGGTTCATGGATACAAATGAAGTTGTATTTCCAAATCAGGTTTTTGTCACCACAGTAAATGGTGATAAGGTGGATCCTGAATTGAAGAAACTGGTCAAGGAAGACAATAAAGGAGTAACTAAATGAGGTTTTTATTCAAATCAAAACATTGTTCAAAATGGTTTGAACAAAAACTCAACATCTTTTCAACAACAAAAATCAAAACGTGTTTGGGAAGTGAAAACTGAAAAGTCAGATATGGATAATAAAAATAAAGAAAAAGGTGTTAACGTTTTGCTTAATGATCCAACTCATCAAAAGATGAGAAAAAAAATTTCAAAGGAAAAGTAGAGAAGTTGTCTTGTGAGGTAGGAGTTTCAAAATCAAAAGCATGAAACAAAGTATACTAGAAAAATGTAAAACCTTTTCGTAAACAAAATGCTTTTAAACAAAAATCTTCTGAAATCGTTCAGACATTTCCTCAAAATGAAAAACACTTTCAAAATAATCAATTTCAAAGGGAAAATGGCTTTCAAAAGAGTTATATTCAGACATTTCCTCAAAATGAAAAACTATTTTCAAAATCAATTTTGACCACATAATTTTCAAAATCATGGAAATGGAAGCTATGTTCAAAATCTTAATCAAAGAAATATTGGTCAAAAATATGGAAATGGATGTTTTGTTCAAAACATTTAACAAAAGAATTTTGTTCAAAGTCATGGAAAAATGAATTATGTTCAAAATTATAGACAAAGAAACTCTGGTCCAAATAAATTTTAAAGAAGGTTTGATAAAAATCAAAATGTTTTTCAACAAAATGATGTTGGTTATCTTAACCAATATCAAAATCATTTTCAAAACCGTCCAAAAACATCTTTTCCAAAATAAGAATTTGAAATTTTGGAAGTTAAAGGAAAGCAAATTGAACCTTTCAAACCCAAAAATCCACATTTTCTAAATTTTGATTCGAAACAGAAGACGAAAGCATCATTTGTAAAAAGGAGAAGTGATGTAAGGAACATCAATTACTGGCTTGAGGGAAAAGGAAAACAATATTAGTAAGGAAAGGATTCTCAAGAGCAAATTCAATCTGCTTACGAGACTTACTTGAATGATTCGATGTGTGGAAGTACTTCTTCTCAAGAATCTACTCCTGCAGTGCGAAAATGGAAAGAAATTCCAAAGAAAAAAGTTGATGGATTTCAAAAAAAGGATGAAAAAGTGTAAGTCAATGTTGAACCTTTCCCATTGAATGATTACATTTTGATGCCTAAACCAATTGAATTTGTCTTAATTGATAGTTTCAAGTCGAAAGTTCATAGTTGGGTTATAGGTTCTTCATTGCATAATATGTTCCAAGCTAATGTCAAAGGACCCAAAAGATCTTGAGGACCTAGATTTTTCTAATTGATCGCAAGTTCTTTGTGATGAGCAATATGATGAAAGTTGGTATATTGATAGTGGATGCTCGCGTCACATGAGTGGAAGGAAGGAGATTTTGCAATATTTGGCTTCTTGTGCAATATTTGGCTTCTTGTGCAATACTTGGCTTCGATTGACTCTACTGTACCAATTGGTGTTCTTCCACCAAAGGGGGATGAAGGTTCTTCTAAAGCTTCCAAAGCTCCAAATAAGAAGAATCAAGTCGAAAAACCACCTGTGGAGAAGGAAGTTACAAAAGAAACTATCCCATCGAAATCAGGAGTTCTCAAGAGAACGAAAAAACCAGCCAAGAAGCCTATTGATTCCCCAGTCAAGAAAACTATGCAATAACCTGGAATTGAAGTACCGATCAAACGCATGTTGATTCCCTAAATACTCTTTCCTCTCAGAAGGGTATTAAGAAGCTTAGAAATCCCCATTTCAACACGAAATGTGTTTTGTTTCGAGAAGTATTTGTTCCTGTTTTGCCTGCATCGAAGAAGCATCAAGAATTTGATATGGCTCATAAGATGCAAAAGAAGAAAAGAAAGCAACAGGATCCATTTAACAAAGTCACAGTCGAAACTGATCACGACAGTGATAGTGGAAGATCAGACATTCGTATATAAGAATCTGTGCTTGGATCACCTCGAAGGGATTCTCCTATCAAGTCAAATTTTGAGACAACATGGGATCCTAATGTCAATCAAAATGTATATAATATGGATACAAACATCAATTCGAACTCCAGAAATCCCTGTAGAGTTATCTGATAAGGACACAAATTTCAACACAGATGAAGGGGTGCAAAAAAACGAATCCTCTATCACTTATACCTTTGAAGCTTCAACCATCATCTCATCTATAATTGAAAATTCTACGGTTGCAACTTCCACAACTTTACCTCAAATTTCATCACCCTTAACAACTTCAGTTCCAGTTTCGACCATCTCGCCAACATATTCTACTATCATGCATGAACCGATTACCACTCTCTTCTCTTCTCAATCCACTGAGGCTGAGATAATGATTCATGAAGAAGAACCTAATGATGATGAGATCATGGAGTCTTTTTTCCGATCCTTAATTTGATCCTGAGGAGGAGAATGTTCCTAATAAATTAATCATGTCAGTTAAACAATTCAAAATCCTTAACTCAAAAATAAATTATCTTCCTCAAATGCAAGTAGATACAGGGGGAAGGAATTTTGTGATTGGTATTGAAATGGAGTATTTTTTGAAATCTCAAGAAAATTGCTTTTGAAGCTTGGTTGAGGGCATTGAACATAAACAATTCGAAAGGTTAGCCCTTCATTCCAAGAGCTTTGACTATGAAATTCATAAGTTTCGTAACGGTACAAAGGAACGTCATGAACTCTTTGTTGAACAAGTGACAAAAGTGAAGGAATTTGTGGATCTCAATGTTGTTGAATTCAAATCTGAGTTGTCAAAAGAAGTTCAGAAAATGGAGCAAAACTATACTTTGTTGCATAGCAAAGTCGATGTCATTGTGACTGCTATCACTAAGTTAGTTGAGTTCAACACCGAGTATTCGAACAAGCTTGAAGCGAAGTCAAAAAAAGGATTCTCAGGTGTTTCAAAAGATGGAAGAATTTTTATCCAATATCAAGGAGTCTATTTCGAAATTTGATCTTTGACACCAATCAATAATCTCTCGAGAGTACTTCTTAATTGATTTCGAATATTGTGTCCAATATCAAATTAGAGCTTGCTCTAATCCTTAAGCTGGTTCTTCGTTTACCAACTAATGATCCACATGTGGTGCAAGTATCACAACGGGGAGACAAAGGATTTGGAGGAGTGGGTTCTTTAAAAGATCCTGAGAAAGGGGATGTTGTTGGGAAAGTGAGTTCGACTCAAATCTCGACTTCACTTCCCATATCACTGACCACAACTTCTACAACAACAACAACTACAAGAGCACTGACAAAATGTATCTCAATAAACGAAAGAGTTGGAGGTTCAATTTCAAGTTCAATTCCACCAACTTCGAATGATGATCCAAGTAATAAAGGAAAATCTATTTTTGTGGTTCCATCAAAAGAACAGAAGAAAAAGAAACAAGCTCTTGAAATAGAGAAGCAAAGGCACATCAAAAATATCTTGACGCGAAGAGCTAATGACCCACCTGGCTTGAACAAGGATGATCCCAACAAGAGTGGTGTTATGAAACGATTGAGGATATTGTTTCGATTGTATTGAATGATTATTTTCAAAAGGTTCCTAAGAAGAACTATGACATTGAGAATTCCAATTTCAATCAGCTTGATTTATCGATCAACCACATGTTATTCACATCTTCTCAGTTCAAGATTGTTGAAAATTTCAATGATAAAGATGAGTTCAAAAGACTGAAGATTTGTTTTCATGTAGTCTTGGGGGAAAACGAAGAGGAGGTATGGTCACCTGTGAAGTTAGTATAAGTGATGACTATCATGCGTGACAACTTGTTCGAGGGTCTTCTGCAAAAATTTTACTACATGGTCTTAAAAGCAAACAATGTTGCTTGTGAGTTCACAATTACAGATTCCCATTGATGAACTTAAATGACTTGATCACTATCAAAAAGATTTTGAGTAATGTGGATGTTTCGAAGATAAGTGAGACCAACAAGGATGATTTCATCATTGGTTTTGCTCATATCAAGGTTTTCATAGACAACTGCTGTGATTACTTGGCATTCACTGGTATTGAGCTTGCTTCAGTTGTCAAAAAGCCTTCAAAGTCCCTCAATCTTTGCTAATAGGAAAAATTAAAATCAATGATTATGAAGATGATGAGATAATTCATTAGCCTCTTGGGGTCGTGTTTCAAGGAAAGAACATGAATGGGAGAATGATGAAATTTTTGTTTCAAGTGAATGATCTAGAGAGGTATACGAATTCTTAGTATACTAATCTCCTTGTTCGAATTAACAATTGCAAGAAGAACGACAATGAAGACAAGGCAAAGATTCGAAAGACCATTTTGTGGTATATGGAGATTAGAAAGGAACTTCTACAGACTCTAAAGCTAATGGCATAATTTCGACTACTCTCACTAAGGGGTTGATTATAGGGGTTGAAACATTTATAGTGAGGAGTCGAAATGGTGTGAGTCTATAAGGAGTCAAAACCCTAATGATTTATACTTTCAATGTATTTGCAAGGCACTGTTTGTATTCGAAGCTAGAATGTTTAGTCCTTGTATTTTTTCCTGAGTCTGTTGTACCCTATAAATAGGGTAAGTACCATAATAGAGGGTAACTTTTGAGCACTTCCCAATGTAAAACAATCTTGATACTTTGTACTCTCATTAGAAATAATACGAGCCAACCAGATTATGTTTACATCTTGTGTTCTTAACTGTTCTTCTTGAATCGATTGTGTTTGTAATCAAATCTAGCACACATCACGCCGACCGAGTGACGTGGCACCACATGGTTGTGACCCATGGCACCATAATAAGTTAACACGTGGCCATGTTCTAGAAGGTGGGATGTGGATAAATAAGAATCGAACATGTGACAAAAGGTTCATGGAGTGGCGTAGACCAACGGGTGTGTTGCGACTAAGAATAGGTGTGCGGCGTGCTTCCAATAAAGTCTATAAATATGGATGGATTCTGCTCATTCTTCTCATAACTTTCACCCAAATCTCTCTGGAAACTTCCCACCTCTTGAGTCTGATTTTTCTGAGCTTCTGGCCACCTTAGTAAGGCTTTAGGATGTAACACCCATAAAATTCATGAAAATTTTAAACTTTTTAAATCATTCAAAATCATCATTGTTTACAAACTGTTTCCAAAATAAGATTCATATCAGAGATATCCCAAAATTTTGAAATATAAACATGAGGAGGTGCACAGTCACGCCTTTGCCTTCCCGCGATCCTGAGAAGTACCTAAAACATAATCCAATAAATGTAAACCCAAAGCTTACTGAGTTTCCCCCAAAATACCAATACATAACAAAAAGCACAATATAATAATAGCATGTAATGGGTCCAGAAATTTACATTATGGATTACCCTTAATCCCAAAACATACATCTGGATTGCCTCACATGCCCAAAACCTATGTTTGGCTTGCTCCCCAGCCTGGTCAGTCAACAGATTCAATACCGATAAGCCCTCAGTACCAGATAGGCATGCTTGGCCCGACCCTCACCTCGTATCTGGAATGCTCATGAGTCCTTAATATGAGTCTGGAATGTCCTCCCTGGCCCTCAGCCCATATCTGGCATACTCCGGGTTTTCTTGGATACAACACAAAGCAATACAACCTCAACCCAAGCCACACAATATCTCGACATATAACAGATAATATCATAAACAGATAAATAGGTAATTCACAGGCAGTTCTACAGACTAGCATAACAAGACTAGCATGCATAACTATAACATACTCAGCATGTCAACAATATCAGGTTATCAAACTAAAGGGTCGGCCTTGGTGCCTTAGACCTGAAAGTATAGTGAAGAAGACTCACCTCACAAGCAGTTGACCTGATAAGATCTAACTCCGAAACTCAGCTCCCGACTCAAAGCCTACAACCATCATGACCAACCCATCAAAACCTTAAAATACCAAAAATGCCCTCAAAAGTCAAACTTGGTCAATCATAGTCAAATTCAAAGTCAACAGTCAAGCTCAATAGTCCATGTTGACCCAACTCGTCGAGTGCACGTACCAACTCGTCGAGTTTCTTCAGTACTTAGAGAAACGAGGATAACCCGAGCCAACTCGCCGAGTTATCAGGACAACTAGTCAAGTTCCTATAATTTCCAGAAAAGTGGGAAAACCTAATCCATCTCGTCGAGTTGTCGAGACAACTCGTCGAGTTTTCCCAACTTAACTTATTCAGTTCTTTTTCATCCCTTCTAACACTCAAGAATGTAGATCTGGAACCCAAGAGCTGAAAAAAAACTTAAAGTTGCTAAATTTACATCCACGCATAACACCAAGAGGCTAAAACACTCAAAGAAGGTTTATTAGGGGACTTAAAACATGAAGGAAGCCTAGATCTAGATAAAGCTTGAAACTTTAAGCCCAAGGAGGCCACAAAACGTCCAGATCTGAAGTTATAACTTCATGACATGCTCAAACCAAGAACAAACCCAAAAATGAGCCAAAAATGACAATAAACTTCCAAGGAAAAGATCTAAGAAATAGATGAGCATGTTTTCGACTTTTTACCTCAAAAGAGTGGCTAAACTCAAGAAGATTCTGATTCTAAAGCTTCTCCCTTCTAGCTATGTACCACCAACTTCAAGCTTCTTTAAGAGAACACCAAAGAAACACTATTTAAGCTCACACATACTCAGAAATGGTAGAGAAAACACAAGGCAAGGCTTTTTAGATAGAGGGAGCGTTTAGGGAAGCCAATAATGGGACTTAAGGCCTTTAAATAGCGTGCAACACCCTAAAAGTTAGGGTTTCATATTCAGACACCAACTCGTCGGGTTTTCTTCTCCAACTCGTCGAGTTGGTCCAAAAAGATCCGCGACCCATAGACTTTCAACACGTCGAGTTAAGGTCATCAACTCGACGAGTTCCAAGGAAAAATTGCCCTTTTTATATAAAATTCTCATACTTGGGAATCGGGATGTTACAAATCCCCCCCCTCTAACTAGGCTTCGTCCTTGAAGCCTGTTGCGGTCAACAAACCCGGATAATGCTCCCGCATCTCAGCCTCTGGCTCCCAGGTCCACTCAGATCATCTCTGATGTTGCCACTATACCTTCACTAAAGGTACCTCCTTGTTACGCAAAACCTTAACCCTTCTTTCCAGAATAGCTACTGGCCTCTCAGCATAGTTCAGGCACTCATCAACCTAAATGTCATCCAATGATACCACTACATCCTCTTCCAGAACGCACTTCTGCAACTGCGAAACGTGGAAAGTGCTATGAATCTGACTGAGCTCCTCCGAAAGATCCAATCTATACACAACCTTGCCAACCCTGATAATAATCTGAAATGGTCGAATATATTGAGGGCACAACTTCCCCCTCTTCGTGAAGAGAATCACTCCCTTCTAGGGTGAGACCTTCAGCAACACCATGTCACCAACTTGAAACTCCAACTCAGATCGGCACCGGTCGGCATAACTCTTCTACTGACTCTGAGCAGTCTGCAATATCTATCAGATCTGCTGAATCATATCTATAGTCTGCAGTACCACCTCGGTCCGACCCATGACCCTGTGCCCAACCTCACGCCAACAGACCGGGGTACGACACCTCCGCCCGTACAACAACTCAAAAGACGGAGCACCAACACTGGAGTGAAAAGTGTTGTCGTAAAAGAACTCAGCAAGAGGTAGGTAGGAGTCACAACTCCCACCAAAATCAATGACGCGGGCTCGCAACATATCCTCAAGAGTCTGAATGGTCTACTCGCTCTGGTCATTGGTCTGCGAATGATAAGTTGTGTTGAAATGCAGCCTCGTGCCCAGTTCCTCGTGGAACTTCTGCTAGAAACGGGAGGTGAACTGAACATCACGGTCTGAAAAAATAGAGACGGGAACCCCATGGAGAGCAATGATCTCACGAATATACACATTGGACAATGAGCTCTCGCGAATTGCCAAAAAAGGGGTACTCTTGGTCAATCGATCCACGATGACCCAAATAGCATCAAAACCCTTGT